GTCAGGCTGGGGGCAGGGCTGATGGGTGGGTCGTTAGAGTAGTGGGGGGTGGGGAGGGAGAGGTGTCAGGGGCAGCATCAAAGCGACTGAAAAATAAGTTCAGTTCGTCAGCTAGCTTGTGGTTGTCAGCACGGGGGGGGGGGGGGGGGGGCTTTTGGTTTGTAGTTGGTGATCTCCCGTAGGCCCCTCCAGACAGAAGCAGTATCGTTGTTACCAAACTGCTCCTGTAGTCGTTCTCTGTGCCGGGACTTGGCTGCTTTCAGTTCTCTCCTGAATAGATATTTAGCTGCTTTGTAGCCGCTGCGGTCCCCCTCCCTGAAAGCAGACTCCTTTGCTTTCCTGAGCTGCCGGAGTTTAGCAGTGAACCAGGGTTTGTCGTTGTTATAGATGACCCTGGTCCTTGTTGGAATGATGCTATCCTCACAGAAGTGAATGTATGACGTCACAGTGTACCTTGGGTCTCCTCTGGTGTGGTATATCTGGGCCTCTATCGTTCTGGTGCTCAGGGCCTGTGCAGCCATGATGAGTTCTTTCTAGCCATTGGTAGGACTTCTTGAGATCAGCCACTTCTGTTATGCTCCGGTGGTACATGCCGTGTAGGGGCTTATCCTCCCATGATGGGCTCTCCTCCAGCACCTCCTCATGTCACCACTGTCTGAGACATTCACTGATGAGTACGTCATCCGTTTGGGCCTTCTCCATGATGTAGTTATGGAGTTGAGATGTTTGGTCCAAGACAGTGGCTCTCACACCCACTAGTCCTCCACTAGCTGTTAATTGCCTGGGCCTTGTTCTTGCCATATGTCTATATATTATAGTGTAAAGTCTGTGCTAGCCTGTGAAAATGCCACAAACAATTACTGAGCTAGAGCAGTTTACTTTTCAATGTAAATCAATAGGAGCGAGAGCAAGTTGGAGCCAAACTTCATCCATGAGCACTTCCCCTATAGGGCTTCATTGAGCTAGTGGGTTAGCATTGTCCATGTATGTACAGGCAATGGGAGATACATAACCAGGGACAGGTTGATAAACTAGCATTAGCATTAGCATATTATACGAATGCGGTGTCCCTGTAGGATAAATATTAAATAGTGAGATATTGAATAGGTGGATTTCACAGGAGCTGTTTGTGTTCCTGAATCTCTCCATCGTCTGCGTTCCTCTTTCTCCTCTCTTCTCTTTCCTCTCCTCTCTCTCCTCTCTTCTCTCTCCTCTCTCTCTCCTCTCCTCTCTCCTCTCCTCTCCTCTCTTTCCTCTCTCTCTCCTCTCTTTCCTCTCTCCTCTCTCTCCTCTCCTCTCTCTCCTCTCTCTCTCCTCTCCTCTCTCCTCTCCTCTCCTCTCTTTCCTCTCTCTCTCCTCTCTTTCCTCTCTCCTCTCTCTCCTCTCCTCTCTTTCCTCTCTCCTCTCTCTCCTCTCCTCTCTTTCCTCTCTCCTCTCTCTCCTCTCCTCTCTTTCCTCTCTCCTCTCTCTCCTCTCCTCTCTTTCCTCTCTCCTCTCTCTCCTCTCCTCTCCCTCCCCTCCCTCCTCTCTCTCCTCTCTCTCCTCTCGCAGCCAGGGGCCTCTCCTCGTCCTAATTAATAACTATTGAACACGGCGGCAACAATCACCGCTAATTAAAATGTCTGTTTGTTGACACGCTACAAGTCTTATCAAAGGGAGAGCGGAGAAAGGACTGGGGGCTGCTTTTTGCACACATTTTCAATCTTTTTAGAGTATTTTTAACAGTGCTTGGTATTCAGGAATGGTCACATACAATTGATTAAAGTTAATAATAAAAATTATAATAAAACGATATAGTTCATCTGTAAGGGGTTAAATATTGTGGTTAGCTGTATCTATGCTAACATCCTCCTCTGTCAAAAAGTCAAATTTAATGAACTTTAAAGCTGGGGTAGCTAATTTTCTAGCCACTAAATAATGTCCGAGTTATCTTCATTGTCCCACTGAGGGAAATTGGTTTTGTAGCAAACAATCATCTAAAAACAGGCAAACACAGTAAAATCACAACAATAAGAAAACTAGAACAAGAGCTAATTTTCATTAAAAAAATATTAAAATCTGTACGATTAGTTATTGTCTCTCAAAACAGTTTGATTTGTATCTCTAGTTTTCTCCTGAATGTATGTTTTATAGGACTCTTTGGTAACACTTTAGATTAAAACTCAGTAATTAACAGCTATTTAAGTGCTAATAGATGAATGCTAATGCTAACGCTAACCTTAACCCACATGGGGAAGTGTCAGTTACTGTAGATGTAGAATTACAGAAGGATTTAATAATTTCTCTCAGGGACCAGAGAGAGAGACCAGAGAAAGAGACCAGAGAGAGAGACCAGGGACCAGAGAGAGTGAAAGAGACCAGAGAGAAAGACCAGAGAGAGACCAGGGACAAGAAAGAGTGAAAGAGACCAGAGAGAGAGAGAGACCAGGGACCAGAAAGAGAGACCAGAGAAAGAGACCAAGGACCAGAAAGAGAGAGAGACCACAGAGAGAGACCAGGGACCAGAAAGAGAGACCAGAGAAAGAGACCAAGGACCAGAAAGAGAGAGAGACCACAGAGAGAGACCAGGGACCAGAAAGAGAGACCAGAGAAAGAGACCAGGGACCAGAAAGAGAGACCAGGGACCAGAGAGAAAGACCAGAGAAAGAGACCAGAGAGAGACCAGAGAGAGACTAGAGAGAGAGAGACTAGAAAGAGAGACTAGAGAGAGAGACTAGAGAGAGAGAGACCAGGGACCAGAAAGAGAGAAAGAGACCAGAGAAAGAGTTCAGGGACCAGAGAGAGAGAAAGAGACCTGTAAGAGAGACCAGACAGAAAGACCAGAGAGAGAGACTAGAGAGAGAGACCAGAGAGAGAGACCAGAGAGAGAGACTAGGAAGGGAGAGACCAGAAAGAGAGAGACCAGAGAGAGCAGTTAAGTGAGGTGTTAAACTAAAGTATGACCGATTCTTTCTATTTGAACAAACAATTGTTTTTTATGAATGAATAAATTTAAGTCGCTCAGCTTTAAAAACATTGCTGTGTTTCTGGTGCATTTCTCCGAAGGTCACATCAAACAGACTGCATTCTGGGAGGTCGGGTAACACGCCTGTAAAACCTCCTCTGATTGGCCGCCTCGCTCCACACGCAGGGCTCAGGTGCTCTGCCCTCAAACTCATCTTCTCAGAATCAGCTCGAGACGCAGCCGCTGCTCCCTCTCCGGTCGTCTGTGGAGGAGCTGAAATGTTTTTGTGAGAGGGATTCCGGGCGAAAGCAGCTGCGAGAGGAGCGCGGCAATTAAAGAAGGAGATCCAGAGCAGAGGAGGAAGAGGAGGTTTAATCAGGGAAGGAAATGTATTTATGTAGCGCATTACAGACGCAGAGAGTTTTTCACTGAAATGTTTGAAATAGTTTTATTCAGATTCATTTTCAGCGGAACTAGAGCCGTGTTCAAAAATGATAATAATAATAATGATAATAATAATAATAATAATGATAATGATAATAATAATAATAATAATAATAATAACAATAGGCCCTTACCCCTTTATGGGCTCGGACATAATAATAATAATAATAATAATAATAAGAATGATAATAATAACAATAATAATAATAATAATAAATTTTTAATACATAATATCTCCATGATCTACGCAGAAGATGAGGTAAATAAATCAGACACTGCACCTGACTGTCTTCACACTCCAGGAACAGTCAATTTGACGGGTTTTAGTTTTGGAAGCGAAATGACTCATCTTATGTACAATTTTGCACATATGGAGTTTATTTCTACTATATTTTTAATATGAGCAGCTCTACAGTTAACTCTCAGAGCAGTCGTTTTGACTGCTCCATTCATTTGGCATCAACTCTTTTACTATATTTCAAATTAAATGGAAGTGTTTTACGGTTTAAAAAAACTTACTTGAAAAATACTTTATTGGAAAAACAATGTAGTGAAAAACAATCTTTTTTGCAAATTTGGCAGGATTCTATTGATTTGAATTTTACCTGTCAAAATGACTGCTTAGGGAGTTCTGGTGTGCACTTCAATTGTATTTCATTTTTAACTAAGGGAAGCTGTAGTATTTTAAGCATTTCCTCCCATTGGCAACACCAGTATGTGACTAACAGCAAGAACGTCCTGGGTTTGATTCCATCCCCTTCTGAGTGGAGTTTGCATGTTCTCCCCGTGTCTGCATAGGTTTCCTCCAGGTGTTTTGGTTTCCCCATCACTAAAACCAGCTGAATAAGTCCAGCACCTTCTGTTGGCGACTCCCATCACTGTGTGGAGGGAGAGGAAAACATGGCCACAAGAATGAATAATTTAGTCCAAGTGGGCGAGACCGTGTGTGTGTTTGTGTGTGTGTGAACCTGTAGATGTGTGTGTGCGTGTGTGTATATGTACCTGTGTGTGCGTGTGTGTATATGTGGATGTGTGTGTGCGCGTGTGTATATGTACCTGTATGTGCGTGTGTGTGTGTGTGTGTGTGCGTGTATATGTAGATGTGTGTGTGCGCGTGTGTATATGTACCTGTATGTGCGTGTGTGTGCGCGTGTGTATATGTACCTGTATGTGCGTGTGTGTGTGCGCGTGTGTATATGTACCTGTATGTGCGTGTGTGTGTGTGTGTGTGTATATGTACCTGTATGTGCGTGTGTGTGTGTGTGTATATGTAGATGTGTGTGTGCGTGTGTGTATATGTACCTGTATGTGCGTGTGTGTGTGTGTGTGTATATGTAGATGTGTGTGTGCGTGTGTGTATATGTACCTGTATGTGCGTGTGTGTGTGTGTATATGTATTTGTTTATATATCCTTAGCGTCTGTTAAAACCCCATCAATCTCCTTTATTATTGATTATCTGTGCAGGCGGAAGCTAAAACAGCCGCTATATTAGCATGATAAAACCAACCAGGTCGTGACCGGAGCTGGAGCTGGTTGTGGCGCTCGGCCTCATGGGAAGTGTCCCAGCTGCTGCAGTCGATGACGCTATCGACGTGACACAGAGAGACGTCGATGTGGGTGTGGATCAGACTGCACCTGCCACTCACCGTTAGTGCAGCGGATCCCAACGCCAATACAGGCCTCGTCCAGGACCGAGGTAAGAGGCCAACTCCGTCTGCTGTGGGACCTCAGTCTGTCTGAGTGAGAGAGCGGATCTCTCTCTCAATATGGGGCTCACCGAGGTTTCTCACTTTAATACCACTGTTGTTTTCCCTTGAGATGAGCCTGTAAATTTCATTAATCTGTAAATAAGTAAATACTAAAATCATGAACAACCACTGAACAAAGTCACTTTACTTTACCTACTTATTATCCTGCCTCATATGTGCAGTATATAACTCCACACTACTACATATATATATATTTTGACTGGTATGGATCCATTTTCAGCATCCACTGCTAGTTAAGCTAGTTAAGAAACATAGCCACTACTTATTTTGTATTTTGTATATTGTGTGTGCTCCCTGTGTGCTCTTATTACTGTCCTGTATGTGCGCTGCAACATTTAAATTTCTCCACTGTGGGACGAATAAAGGAATCATCTTATCATATCAGAGATGCAGGAGGTCTGAGGACAGTGAGGATCCAGGACAGTGGTCCCTCCCTTCGGACCAATGACTCTGTGTTTGTTTTTATGGCATTTCCTGAACTGTTTGATTCTCTGATCTTCTGTTGAGGAATCAAGGACTTCTACCGTGATTTAATTCGATACACAAATAAATTAAATTAAACTTTCCCAAACTATAATGGTTGGACTTGTGATGAAGCTGCAGGCTCTGTAGTTTTGGCCTCTGATGACTCATTTACTCTAGTTATAAGTCAATCCATTAATGAACAATATGCAAGTTGGACACACTACGTCATCTTCCCAACCTAGGCATGGTTTATCGGCCTCGTGACGTCACATCCGCATAACAGGGGTGTCCAAATTCAAAGTGGCAAGGGGATCATACCTTCGTCTCCATGGAAACGACAGAGGAACCACCATCCAAGGAGCTGTCTGCACCAGGAGCAGAGTGCCACCTCCAGCCACAAGGGACAGCACAGGACCCAGAGGAGGCTCCCAGTGGAAATGAAACATATTAGATAGCTCATGGTTAATGTTCCCCTCTCCTTCTCTTCTTTAACCTCGTACCATCAACAACCTTTGCCCTTTAAATACATAAACAATTGATCTTCACAATCATATATTTTAATGGACTCTTTGGGCTGAGAGCTGATTGGCTGAGTGACTGCATGTGAAAACTAGCAAACTGTTTTGAGAGCGAGGAGCGAGATGCACGGATTATATTACAGCGCGTGGCGATTTTATTTTGTGGTTTTAAATTTGCGTACCCCAGCATTAATTTAGTGTTGTGCATTGTCCTGGCTGGATGGCTAATTTACTTTGCATCTGGGGGGAATGTGATTTCAATGTTCAAAATGTACGCACCTTTGCTGTGTTATCAGAATACGTACCTATACTGGAATGAATGAAGTCACAACATGCACGCACTCACACCCACACACACACACACTGTACGCACACACACACACACACACACTGATTCCTATAGGCGCTGGGCTGCGGCTCTAAAAATACATTTGATCTGAGCGAGAGAAGCTGTGGACGGAGACCAGTGCTGCCTATTAAAATGTAAATTCTGTTCTGTGCACCAGCGGGAAACGAGAGGGAGGGGAGGGGGGTGAGAAGAGGGGGAGAGGAGGGGGAGAGAGAGGAGAGGGAGGAGAGGGAGGGGAGAGAAGGGCCTGCTCCAAAAGCCAAACCGGAGGAGCTCTGAAAGGTGCTCATCTGCACTGGGCAAATGTCCTCAAACTTGTTAAATGTTTAATCTTTGGTGGTTGTTTAGTCAATTAAAGCTCGGCTACGTAACTTTCAAGCCGCAGCAATAGAACAATCGAGGTGAGAATGGGTGCGTGTAAAAATGTCTCTCTTCATAATTCAAAAAGTAAAACAAAGTAGTACTAGCATTAACTTTGAGGCTGGTCAGAAAAAATAAAACCCAGAAACAACAAGAACATAATCCGTAACTCTCCAGATTTCAAAGATAATTGTGATTTAATAGTAACAAATACATTTATGTATGTGTGTGTGTGTGTGTGTGTGTGTGTGTGTGTGCGTGTATATATGTGGTTCTTCTTCATCTCTCCAGCTCGGGTCCCCAGCTGCAGTCCTCTGAGCTCGCAGTAGATGGCGCTCTGGTGACACCAAAAGCAGCACTGGTCTTTACAGTAAGAGTTTCAGTCCCTCGGCTCCAAACACAGAAACTCCCAAACATTCGGTTATTTTAGCACTTTGATCTTTTCTACATTTCTCAGACGTCTGTGAGTGATCCTACTGTACAGTTTAGAGCGGCCTCCTCAGTGGATCAGGGACTGGAGACTAGTGTGGTCTCTCTGTGGCCTCTGGTCTCTCTCTGGCCTCTGGTCTCTTTTTGATCTCTGGTCTCTCTCACTAGTCTCTCTTGGGTCTCTCTTTGGTCCCTCTCTGGTCTCTCTCTGATCTCTTTCTAGTCTCTCTCTGGTCCCTTTCTGGTCTCTCTCTGGTCCCTTTCTGGTCTCTCTCTGGTCTTATAAAGCCGTAACTTTTGTGGAGTGACTTGAATTTAAAACATAATTATTCTGATGATTAAAGCTGTGGTACCTAACTTCAAACCCACAAACCCCTGGAACTATGTCATACAATCCATGTGACTAGAGAGAGACAAGAGAGAGACCCGAGAGAGACCAGAGGACGACAAGAGAGAGACCAGAGAGAGAGAGACCAGAGAGGGACCAGAGAGAAACCTGAGAGAGAGCTGAGAGAGACCAGAGGGAGACCAGAGGGAGACCCAAAAGAGACCAGAGAGAGGCCAGAGGGAGACCAGAGAGAGTCCCATGAGAGACCAGTTGAAGAGTATAGAGAGTCCAGAGAGAGACACCAGAGAGAGAGACCAGAGAGATACCAGAGAGACCTGATAGAGACAAGATGAAGACTAGAGAGCGGTTTACAAATAACAACCGCTTTGTGACTCTGGTCTGTGAAAGGCGGTATATAAATAAAGCTTACTTACTACTTACTTACTTACAGAGAGAATAGTGACCTTTCTCTTTCCCCTTTCTGTCTGAAAAAGCTGATTCAAAGCTACAAGCGGAAATTAGCAACAGAACCAAACCATTTTAAAGTCAGGAACTAGAGACGTCTATTACACTGTGTTTGTAAAATTACGGCCCCTGGCTTTAAACGTGCCTCAGAGTCTGCAGCAGTGAGAGAGTCCCCTGCGCCGCTCGCACTAATGCCTGTAATATAAGTTAATGGTGTTTGGGATGAAGTTGCTGCAGTTGCATCGGACCTGAATGTGTCTAAGGTCTAAACAAAGGCCTCCTGCTCTGATGGCTCTTTCAATAATGATTAAAGTCTGGATCCAAACATCCACAGGTAGAAAACAGCCCAAAGAAAGACAGACTAACGATACAGAAACACGAGCGCTTTTCTAATTGTTTCATCTGTTTTTGTGTGAGGAAATCGGCTCGGCAGGAGATTGGGAATTTGGGGAAATGACAAAATTAGAATTGATGTGGAACTCGGAATAAAGTATAGAATGGCAGAAACATTTTTAATTTTTAGCAGTTATAAGATTGATTTACTGGAGAACTGGAAAATAAAGGAAACATTTTTTGTCTTTTGGTTGAGACAGACACACACATACGCACGCACACACACACACAGACAGACACACACACACGCACACGCACGCACACACACACACACACACACACACACACACACACACACACACACACACACACGCACGCACACACACACAGACAGACACACGCACACGTGCACGCACGCACACACACACACACGCACACACACACACAGACAGATACACACGCGCACACACACACACACGCACGCACACACACACACACACACACGCGCACACACACACACACACACACCAGACTCAAGTGTCTTGCCAAAGGACACAGTTTGACACTTTACAGCCGCAGCCGCCCCACTGTGGCACCTGGTGTTCCAGAGGTCTCCCATCACGGTACTAACCAGGGATTGGGCTTGGCAAAAATGTGAAAGCCACAAACATTATACTTTCTTCAAATGTGAGATTTCATTGTGATTGAATGTTGCTGTTTAGTACCGACACGTCAAATTATAACACACAATTCACAAACATTCAATATCTTTTTTAAAAAGAGTCCTAACCTGTAGAACCATTATTTTTAATTTGAAAAACAAAAGACAATATTAGACTCAAACTATTCAACAGCTTTTATACCGTCTAAAACATTTCTAGAGTCAAAACTACAGCAGAATCTAAAGCAGACTTCTTCTCCTCCTGTTGGACTGACCAGCCGCTCACTGGTCTTTGCAAACCAGTCTTGACTAGAACCAGGAAGTACCATCACATTAGTCTCAGGTCTCTCTATGGCTTCACTCTGTGACATGTTAGAGCCACATGAAGCAACTCTGACTCTGAGAAGCACAGGGACTGGCCTCCTGCTGGAGGTTGCTTTGTGTATGAACTGTGCTACATAAATAAACTTGCCTTAAAGCTGCACTAACTGACTTTGTGAAATTTTCAAATGTGAGCCCTGGCCTTGCTCTTTCTACTCCCCTCCCCGCACGGAGCTTTCGCCCCCCCACTACCCCCTTCCCCCTCAGCATGTGCCCATGTGCTAATTGTTTACGGAGCTAGCGTCTCACAACATGGATCGCACATTTGAACGTGGATGGCGTGACCATAGAATGATAGAACCGGGAAGCGCGGAGGACGAGACTTTCTTTAGGATGGCTGTTTTGCTGAGTAAGCAGTAGCCGGTAATAAATACACGGGAAGTTTAAGGTTAGCCTCCGCCGCTTGTTTACCTCAGCTGTCTGTGCTAACAAGAGACCTGTGGCTTTTCTCAAGAAAGTGGGGGCCAGTGGTCCACTGCGATTGGTCACAATCTGGACCCGAAACACATTCTCTTCCTTGTTTCATGAAAACTCGATCTAAAATAAAATGACATGAATGTCCTTCAAAAGGACGTTCCAATGCACTGCACGGATATGGATAGCATTTAACTAATGAATAAAGAAATATAGTGAGGTAATGCAGCTTTAAAAATTCACTGCACACATTTTCCACAAATTGCATGTTTTTCTTTCTTCCGCCGCTCTGGTGTTTGCAAAGACAAAGAAAAGTAAACAATAATTGCTGTCTTTGAGATTTTCTAATTATGACAAAAATGAATGTTTTGATTGTGTTTGTTTCTGCAGCCACAGTTTGAGATTTGAGACGCACACATACTTCACATAAAGTAGGAACTTATTATCATTTCCTCTTCCTGCTTTGTCCGAACAAACCTTTTTAATCCTGACCACTGCCTGAAGACGGAGAAAAGTGACCACTGATCGCCTCATTCCTCGTCCACTCCACGGCTTCGATAGAAAAGGTGAAAATTGCCCGTCGTTCTCCTTTCACACAAAACAAATTCTCCTCTCATCGATTGTCAGCGCTGGCGTAATTTCAAAGTCCAAAGCAATGGCCTCTTAAAGCATAAAGAGGAGGGGGTTTTGTCCCGTTCAACAGCCCTGGATCCAGAGCATAGGGCTCTTGTGAGCACAGGGCACTTGTGAGCACAGGGCCCTTGTGAGTGCAGAGGAGGCACAGAGCAGAGCAGTTAGCGGTGATTGAAATCTGAAATAACCAGAGCTCTCCAGGACCAGGCCCAGGATCACTCTGTCCTGTCACAATGTTATGTCTGAGGCTCATTCACAACACCACTTTGTCTCCCACGACGGAGAGAAGAGCTGTTTTCAGGCAAGGTAATTTATGTAGCGCAGTTTACACACAAGGCAACTCCAAGTGCGTAACAAAACTAGATGGAAAAAAATTATTCAAGGAATTAAAATCTTAGATAATCAAAGTGCATTAACATAGAGTAACAATACAATCCTTCATTTGTTTACATCCCAGCAGGAGGCCAGTCCCTGTGCTCCTCAGAGTCCCGGAAGGAGGACAGTCCCTGTGCTCCTCAGAGTCCCAGCAGGAGGACAGTCCCTGTGCTCCATGTTGGATTCAATGTGAACCATCTTACAATACAATTTATAAATACATAAATAAATAAAGGTGCAATTTATTGTCCCCGTAGGGAAATTTGTTCTCTGCTTTTGACCCATCCTGATGCCACTAAGGCTTATGTCCGGAGCAGTGGTCGCCGTAGTGACAACCCATCTCCAGTTGTTGATGTTCGGCTTGGTATGGACCACCGGAGCTGGAGGATTTTACCTAGTGAGCATATTATTACTGGTAGGGGAAAACGGAGTACCCGGAGGAAACCTACACAGACACGGGGAGAACATGCAAACCCCCCTCAGAAAAGTCCTGTTCCGACTACGATTCGAACCCAGGATCTTCTTGCTATAAATTGTATAAATTGATCTTCTTGCTATAAATTGTATTGTAAGATGGCTGCGGCTGTAAAGTGCCAAACTGCCGTTGTGTCCTTAGGCAAGACACTTCACCCCCATTGCCTAGAATGAGTCTGGTGTGTGTGTGAATGGTTGGTGGTGGTCGGAGGGGCCGATGGCACATACTGGTTGCCTCGCTTCTGTCAGTGTGCCCCAGGGCAGCTGTGGCTACATTAGTAGTTTATCACCACCGTGTATGGAGTGAATGAATAATGACACATGTGAAGCGTCTTTGAGTGTCCAAAAAAGCGCTATATAAAACCGATGCATTATTGCTGAGAGGCGAGAGTGCTATCCACTCAGCCACCGTACCACCCTTATTCT